TTTTCTTCTTGTAGATTTGTTTCTAGGGGATTTGTTTATCAGGTCAGACGGAAGTGGCTTCAGGATCAATGCCCATTTACAAAAGGTAACATGATCCATACATTTTATTAAACTTCATTCCTTTTATAATTTTTTTTTTGGTACTATTCACGTTGATAAAGTTTGGCAAGGGAGACCTCAGTCAAGTATATGATAAGTTGCAAAATCAGATGAAATACCTCCACCGCTCCAACATTTTTTTTTTTTTTTGCTTGTTTTGATTCATTCGGCTGGATCTGACTGTACATTGTTCATCCTTCATGCGAGAATGGTAGTGGTATCTCCCTTGGTTACATTATTTACAATTAGATTTTAATTATGACAAATGTGCTAATTGTCTGAGTAATTCTGAACACATGTGGATTTTAGTATCAGAGTATTTGAGATTTCATCCAAACTTCGATAATTCACTATTTTGTTGTGTTGCAGAACTGATTGGAAACCACCAGAATTGATTTAGGCATTCTTTGGTTGGGTGAATTGAAAGTGAAACTTAGGAAAAGATGGTTTATTGGTAGATAACTTGTGAGGAAACACTAACCTCCACAAACATTAAAATTTATTGCATAATTAACACACATTTTCAGAGGTCTGAGTGAACACTTGCAAAAGCAGACAGCCTTTGCAATATGACTTTTTCATTTTCTGTAAAGATTTTTTTCAAAACTCATCCACAAATAAAAACATGGTACCCCAAAAATGATATAAGTAAGTGCCTTTGGTTTTTGCTTAGCATTGGATGTAACTGTGGATTGAGGGAGGATTATTCCAAGAGACTGAAGTAAGAAAACAAACTCAAAGACTTTATTTGCAAGACTGTGACAGTTATAGTATTTATTTTAGTATTCATCATTTTAGTATTCATGATGAATACTAGGAGTATTGTAAGAAATTAATATTGTAAGAAAAAGAGATAAGGTAATAAATGGATGTGCTCACCCTGTCTGATAGTTGATAGTACAAGTGTATTTACTTTAAGCGGAACTTTTTAGAGCATAAGATTATATTTTTTTTTTTTTGGACGCCTTTATGCTGCTCTCAAGATGGTATTAGGATCAGGTGAAATGGAACACACTTTGTTGCCTGGTGAAATACGCAAATGCCTGGAGATTTCCCAGTGTTCAAAGCTGTCCTTTCCAACCCCAGAGGAGAGACCTAGGAGGACCGCCGCTGGGCAGGCTGGGGTGGTGAGGGTCTCTGGGAAGGAGTACAGCCTCAGTGGGAAGGGGACAGACCATCACCATGTGAAGCCATACCCTTCCTGGAGGGAGGAAACCACCTCTGTGGTGGGGAGAGCCAAGACCTTTGCCCTCTGCTCCTGGCACACTTTACATTTTTGTGTAGTGCATAAACAGGCTCTGCTGCTGCGGAATTGAAATCTTCTGAATGTGTTTTAAAGCTGGTACTATGACTTTACCTCCACAACTTCAAATATGAAAGCATCTAGGTGACCCTTTGCAAGCACCAGGCCCCAAATTAGTACAGAGTCTACTAGACTAGACCTTACTCCTGCTCTTCAGCTCATGGAAACCTCATCCTAAATCTAACCCCAACTTCTGAACATCTGACCATTTAAATACTGCTATTCTGTTTACCTCCATGCAATTCAGAGGATGGCAGAGATGGCTGGGCTAGAAAGAAGGCTGATGTACATTTCTCAGATACCAATATCCATACCTGGGCCTTCATAGCTGCCATGTGGGATCATTTTTGAAAGAGACAGGTGGGCAAATACTGGTAAAACAAAGAAATTAGAGTGCCAACCTGAGATCAGGGCTGGTGTGAACTACTCTCTTACATGTAGGGCTGGGACTGGTTTAGGTGGCTTTGAGTGTAGCAAGGCAGAAACTTTGTTTTAAGGCTATTTTTGATCAACTAGTTCTGACTGAGTCCTGGAGGTTTTTTGTTTTGTTTTGATTTTTTTTTTTTTTTTAATTCTAGCTGAGACTTATCCTTAATGTGATCAGTATACTTGTATGAACCTAGTAGCAATTATATAAAAAGAAGTTATTCTGTTTTCTTCCCATTTGCTGATGCTATAAATTGAAAACTACCTCCAACTTCCTTTACCTAGAACTAAAGATATTCTTAAACATTTAAGCACGTCTCTGGCTTAACCTGAGGGGCTATTTTTGGATGTAAGTGAAGTCATAATTGTCCTCATTTTACCCAGAATTCACTTTCACTGCCTAACTCGCTTCTTAGACCTAACTGTAATAAAGCAGATACCCATCCCAGCTTGGGCTATGTATGTGTACTTAACTGGCTCCGATCACCACCTCTTCTCAAGTTACACAAGCTACTGCCTTTCCAAACAAGTATCATCCTAGCTCCGACCGTAAACTCAATCCTAGACAAACCTTTGCCACGGCATTAATTCCGTGAACTATAATTTTCATCCTCAGAAGCAAACGTAGCCAAGTCAGTTAAATGACTAAGCTCCGGTTACTTTGCATATGCTTTCTAAAATAATTAATTATGTTTGATGAATGACCTCTTCTGGTCTAAATTGTAACATTCATGCGCAAATCTCAGCTTTCTGTCAAAACTTTTAAATACACCTTCAATCTGAAGCTAAAGTTAATCAGTTGTCTTTTATGCATCTTTTCCTGGTAGTCTCCTTTGAGCATAGCCAGTGCCTCATTTTTTTGGCCTTTGCTGACCTGGACGGTCATGCTGCCATCGGCCTTAGCCGTGGTCTTTTACAAGCGGCAGGGTTTGCCAGATGACTCCTCCCAGAGTTAGTCTCCAAGTTAGACCCTTGCTTCCTTATGGATCGAGATGATACTTCAGGTCAATGATCTCTGCTAAATTTGAACGTAACCACATCTATCCTAAGCATTTTCTCCAGCCCTACTTCCCTGGTTGTTCCAGAAATACACACAGCCAGATGTCCTCACTGGCCTCTGCAGTCACCTTCTGAACTTGCATATTGATCGTACTACTAAG